CCTCTGAACTTGTGAGGGGCTTGTTCTGAAGCACCTGCTGTGGTCCCGACCCCCCCCTTTAGTCAACATGGGGGGCCTCCCTCCTGCACGCAAGTTGCAAAGCCCACCCACCCCCCCCGCCCCCCCTGCAAGAGCTGCTGCTGAGGAGGGGGAGCCTTTACCCGTCCAAGGCCCACCCCTGACACCCAGCCCCGGGGTTGGAGGCTGAAAAAGACCCCCCCCCGGATCAGAGCGGTCCCTGCATCTAGCCCCCACTGATTCCCAAAAGAATCACTTTCTCGGTCCTGGCCTGCCCTCTGAACTTGTGAGGGGCTTGTTCTGAAGCACCTGCTGTGGTCCCGACCCCCCGCATTAGTCAACATGGGGCGCCTCCCTCCTGCACGCAAGTTGCAAAGCCCACCCACCCCCCGCCCTCTCACGGGCCAGATCCAAGGATGGCAGAAGCAGGATGCGGTTGCAAGGTTGGAGTGAAGCTCGGGGGTTGGGAGACTGTGCCTCTGAACAAGAGCAAAGTGCACTTTCTTCCCCACGGAGACAAACCCTTAAATCTGGGCTCAAAGGCAAAGGATTTGATTGGGGGTGGCTGGAATATTCCAGCTACTGACCTTTTTCGAAAATAAAAAGTTTCCGTCAGTTAATGCGCTTTCGTTTTACCCTGTGCTAAAGCAGCCGTGGAGTCCAACTTCCCCAAGGAAACCGAGAGTCCCTTGTCAGCTGCTTTGCAACGCCCTTCCCCCCTCCGCCCCCCCTCCGCTGGACCCACGCCAGGGGTTTCCCGAGCCCAGTTGGGGCTTTCCATCAGCCGGCCAATCACAACTCTGGAGCAGGCTTGGTCACTAGTTGCCAGGCAGGGAAAACCTCTTTCTCGCCAGAGCCACCAGGAGCACCGTGGCTGCCTTGAAAATTTCTCCTCTCTGCAGAAGAGGCTCTTCTGCCCCCCCAGGAAGGCCCCCTTCCCTCCGACCTACAAACCAGGATCACATAGCTTCCCTTCGGAAAAGCACCAGCCTGACTGGAAGAAACACCCCAGATGCACAGTTGAGGGTTATCTTTATTAGAAAGATAAGGGGCCAAGAAGCCTGCCAGCATTCCAGTTCTCCAGCGGTTGCAGGAATCTCGGGATGGGGAGAAGCTGGGGGGCTTTCCGGAGAGTGGGGCTGATTGCCCCCCCCCCCCCCCGC